CTCCTCCCCGGGGCCGCCGCGGGCTCGGTGAGCCGTTTCTCCCCGCGGGCCGGCAGTCTGGGCGCGCAGGGGCGTGAGCCCCCGCCCGGCGCGCAGCGGCACCATGGGCACCGTGCTGTCCCTGTCCCCCAGCTACCGCAAGGCCACGCTGTTTGAGGATGGCGCGGCCACGGTGGGCCACTACACGGCCGTGCAGAATAGCAAGAACGCCAAGGACAAGAACCTGAAGCGGCACTCCATCATCTCCGTGCTGCCCTGGAAGAGGATCGTGGCCGTGTCGGCCAAGAAGAAGAACTCCAAGAAGGTGCAGCCCAACGGCAGCTACCAGAACAACATCACGCACCTCAACAATGAGAACCTGAAGAAGTCGCTGTCGTGTGCCAACCTGTCCACGTTCGCCCAGCCCCCACCGGCCCAGCCGCCTGCGCCCCCTGCCAGCCAGCTCTCGGGCTCCCAGACCGGGGTCTCCTCCTCGGTCAAGAAGGCCCCGCACCCTGCCATCACCTCGGCAGGGACACCCAAACGGGTCATCGTCCAGGCGTCCACCAGCGAGCTGCTGCGCTGCCTGGGCGAGTTCCTGTGCCGCCGGTGCTACCGCCTGAAGCACCTGTCCCCCACGGACCCCGTGCTCTGGCTGCGCAGCGTGGACCGCTCGCTGCTCCTGCAGGGCTGGCAGGACCAGGGCTTCATCACGCCGGCCAACGTGGTCTTCCTCTACATGCTCTGCAGGGACGTGATCTCCTCCGAGGTGGGCTCTGACCACGAGCTGCAGGCCGTGCTGCTCACCTGCCTGTACCTCTCCTACTCCTACATGGGCAACGAGATCTCCTACCCGCTCAAGCCCTTCCTGGTGGAGAGCTGCAAGGAGGCCTTTTGGGACCGCTGCCTCTCCGTCATCAACCTCATGAGCTCCAAGATGCTGCAGATCAACGCGGACCCGCACTACTTCACACAGGTGTTCTCCGACCTGAAGAACGAGAGTGGCCAGGAGGACAAGAAGCGGCTCCTGCTAGGGCTGGATCGGTGAGCCCCGTAGCATGCACCACGGCTCAAGGATTCAATTCATTTTTAAAAATTTATTATTAAATCAGATTTTATGTACAGTGTGTGTCTAGCGAAGCCACCAAGGGCCGATCCCGGCCCACCTGCAGCCCTGCCAGGGGTCTTCTTCAGCTCTGCCAAGGACTCTGGGCGCGTTTGAACTCCTGGACTGTGTGCAAAACCCAGAAGATGCGTTCAGAGCCACCCAGGCCCCCGACCTTCGACTTTGGGGGATTCCAAGGACTGACTTGCCTCTGTCGCCTGCGCCCTTGCTGGACCAGGGCAGGTGAGGCTGTCGGTCGCTCCCTGGGAGCTGGAGAGGGGCCTATGGCCAGGTGACCCCGGGAGGATTTGGCGCCTCTAGTGGGGGGCCCTTTTCTGGCTCCCGTTTTGGGTGGTCCATTCTCCCAGAGGCTCCTGGAGCCGCCATCCTGACTGAGCCGCCTGTGGGGTTGCGAGGCAAGCTATGCCTGTTCAATCTAGGAGAAGCCAGCCTGGTGCAAAGCTTGTGTCCTGTTGTTCGGCCGTGCACAACCCTCGTTTGCTCTTTTTTCTTTTTTAGGGAGAAGGGCTTTCCTTTAGTGGAGACACGGAACTGCCCCTCAGTCCCCTTGTCCCCTGCTCCCGGCCATGTCGGCAGTGTTGGTTAATGAGCTGGTTTGACTCGTGAAGTTCTTTCATTGTGGGTCCCAGCTAAAGAGGTGGCGGGAAGCCGGGGACACTCCTTTCCTGGGTGAGTGTTTCACTTGGGTCATGCCGCTTAGTCACCCCGTGGTGAAGGCCAGGTGACCACCCGCCTGCCTCTGGCAGGGGGCGTGCCAGGCCTGAGACCAAGCCAGAGCCCACCTACAGGCTGAGGCCTCTTCTTGCTGGTGCACATGCTGTTCTGCAGAGCTGGGTGTGGGGGCTGGTAAGGACGTACCCCCGCCCCCCACTCCTACCCCTTTTCATTTAAAGCTGTTTCCAGACAGTTCGGTTTCTTCTGAAGAGAAGCCTTGCCCTGCAAGGCCCAGGGAGACAGACAGCTGGATCTCAGAGACAATTACAGGCCGGGGTAGGACTCCCGGTTGCGTTGTGAGCCTGCTGATTCTACAACTGATCATTTGCAGCTGCTGGTTTTGGTTTCCACTTTAGTGGCTGTAAAAACACAGGATATGTACTTAATCAATTTTCTTTCTAATTCTCCCAGATTGGTGGCTTGGGACTTGGGAGAGGACCAAGAGAAGGGACGAGTCTTCCTCCATGGCCCATCGCCCTGGCTTTGGGGAACAAAGAGCAGTGTGAAGGCTCCAGAGAATTCGCTCTTCCCAGCCCCCCAGGGAGTGCTGGAATGGGGGGCGGGTGGGGAGGCAGAGGCTCATGTTACATAGGATTAGGTCCCAGGTGGCTGCCATCTCAGCACAAGCACTACTGAAAATCACGTTAAAAAGAGCAAGCTGTGAAATTGAGGTCGGCCCTAAGAGCCCGCGGCCAGCCCGCATGTGCGGACGAGGGCCTGCCCATGCGCGAGAGCATTTGCCCCAGCTGTGCCCCGAGGCCCACGCCGGCAGTTCCGGGGCCGCCAGAGAAGCGGATGCAGGGCTGGGAGGGCCCGCGGCCGCTGGCACAGACTTCACTGCAGCGCCTCTTCCTTCTCCGCTGGATTGTCACCGGCCTGTCTGCTCAGATCTGCTGCCACATGTGACCTGAGGTAGGAGGCCCTGGAGGGCAGCGGGCCCTGGTGGCATGGAAGAGGGTGGTTCGATGCCGCGTCTCAAGAGGAGGGGCCCGTGTTTGCAGTCGCTTGTTCGGCGGGCTGAACCTGGCCTGAAACTGTGCTCAGTCACATCCACAGGATTCCTGTTTTGTGCGTTTCCTTCTCTTTCTCCATATTTATTTTTTTTCTGTTCTGGAGGAGGTGCAGAGTCAGGAGTGGTCGGGGACTAAGGACGTAACTCTAGTTCCATCCACGTGACAGCCGGGCGCGTCCCCCTCCCTCCCCTTGCACTGGTCATCAGTATTGTGTAAAGGAACTGATACACTCGAGTGTGCAAGCAATGAACCCGTTTGACATGCTGACATGCTGCTATGAAGACTACTTTTAGAACAACATAAAAAAATACAGAAAAAAAAAACTGACAAAAAAAAAAACCCACCACCACCACCCCTTTATTCTTTCATTGTTGCTTTTACAGTGATATTGTGCATGCCGACCAGGAGCATTTTGTGTCTTAAGAAAAATAATCTTAGAACAGATGGCTGTGAAATTTACACCCGTGCACAGAACAAGTCACAGGAATACTCGTTCAGGATTTGGTTTTTCTCTTGTAAAGCCGAAGGGTTGATATATTCTTTAAATGCAGTTATTAGGAGTTAGTTTCGTTCCAACAGTTGTTAAACTTGCAATGAAAAGAAAATGTGCCATTTTTTTTTTCACTCGGAACCTTTTCATAGCTGTATATTTGAAACTGCTAATTACACAACGTGCGATGTATGTTGTTTTTTTTAGTGCAATTTCTTCTGTAGCTATTCTTTGACCAAACTGTGGGTATTGTTAATATTAATTTATACTTGTCTCATTTCGTATGTATGTGTAGTGTGTTTGTAAGTATGTGTGGTTTATAATCTGACAAGGTCATGAAGCTCAGTTTGGCTGTAATTTAATTCCCCTTCCCTGATTTTTATTTATTTTTGTACCGTGCTGATTAAATAAAACGCACTGACCATCCATTACATAGACCTCTTTCGTGGGCACATCATTCACGAGCAGGCCAGGCGGCTTTTTATAAACGATTCCTGCGCTCAGAGTATAATTGGATTTGTGTTATGGGGGGGGCGGGGGAGGGT